GACCAGTCAGGGGTCGCCGATGGTCGGCGTGTGCAACACTGCTACCAGCCCAAAAAACAAAATCCTTTTTTTTTTTTTTTCCTTTGCCAAATTGGTTAGTAGCCCCTATGATTATTGTATCCACTGTCCAGCTTATTCCATTAGGAATCAGGCTTCAAAGTTCTTAAGTTATTATCTTCATCTGCTCATCAATAGCTGTGTAGCACACCGAACATGTTCGGGGCTTCCCCGAATGACCGAACATGGTCGGGGCTTTCCGCATTCCCCCCGAACATGATCGGGTGCTTGGCCGAACGTGCACTTCGTGCCTAAAGAGAACCCAAAGGCAAACATGAAAAGAACTGGGGAAAAATCAATCTTCGCTTCGGGATTGGTTTCGGAGCTCCCATAGTAGTCTCCTGTGGACCCTCGGTCAACCACAATGAAGGGGAGCAACGTATCTGGGTTCCAAATTCTCGTTTGCAGATGCGACCATGAAATCGAACGTTTGGAGGCCATCCCTCCGAGGCAAACACGTTCTTTGAAGTTTGGATTTCTTCTTTCTTTCCCTTTTTTGCACCGTGTTCGACTTCTTTTTTTTTTTTTTTTTTCGCACCGTGGAGCATAGAGACTACCTTGGCAGAATCAGTGGCTGAGGCTAGGCTACCAGAGTGGCCCGGGGCCACTTGCCCGCCCGGGCTGAGACGGTTTCCACCTTTTGCAGTCACAGATGCGGATCCCAGGGCTCGATCCCCAGACCTTACCTTACCTTACCTTACCTTCACTGTGTATAGTATCAAGTTGACCCTGTGTGTCTTGAACCCGTGACCCGTGTGTTATAGTAGTTGAAAGTTGTCTGTCGTAGGTCTGAGTAGTTGTTGGGTCTTGAACCTTAGACCTGTCGAAGTAGGGGTCATACCTGCATAGGGGTCATAGTCGTTGAAGTTCTGAAAGGTCAAGGTCGTAGTTGCTACAGTCCTGAAAGGTCACGGTCGTAGCTGCTACAGTCCTGAAAGGCCAAGTCCGCAAACTTCCGGAAGGTCCGGAAGTGGCCTTTCAAGTTTCTTCTCACGTTATACACAGTAGACCAGAGGCAAGTGGGCAAGTGGTGAGTGCAACTTCGCTTAGTCAGCGGTACCAAGTCCCAGTCTCACTTTGTACAGTTAGCAAGTACCATGTGGGACTGTGTGCACCATGGGCCCGGTGGAAAAGGGCAGACCAACGACCTACAGAAGTATAAATCAAGAGGCAGCGTCCAGCCATTCATTCATTCCTGCATGAGCCATGCGGAAGCGCTGCCCAAACGTCTTGTGCGAGGTGGACTGCAGGTGCCCGAGGTCGAAGTGGGCTTGGAGAAGTTAGTGCGCCATAGTTAGCAGTAGCCGGCGGTCATAGCCGCCATAGCCAGCGGTAGATGTTAGTGTGTGTGTACGTGTATGTAATGCAGTGAACATGTGTGGGGTTTTCAGGGTGATCTCGAGTTGAGTGTGTGCGAACAGTGGTGTTGGACACAGTGACGCGAGTTGGGATGTACAGGCGCTGATGCGCCATAGCCTGTTGAAGCGAGTTTGCATCTGAACTGTGTTCTCGTTTTCCATATCTCTGAGCTTCGAGTGGGTGCTTGGCGCCACTGTGAATTGCCATCTGTTTGCATGTATGCGAAGAGAAGAAGAAAGCGAGTCTGAATGCAGGGCCAAAAATAAATATATATATATATATTTAATTTATTTTTAAATCTTTAATATGGTAAAGAATTTCGATGTGACGCTGAGGGAAAAGTTGTTCAGTTTATTTTTCTGCATAACAAAGTTTTTTTTCGGATTTTTTCGATTTTGTTTTTTTGCTAGGACCTTCCCCGGTCCTTGCACGGCTGGGCCGTCCGGGAAAATACGGTGACCCGGGCGGCCCGGCTGGTAGCCTAGGGCTGAGGTGATTTCTTTTTTATTTTTTTATATTTTTTTGGGCTGAGGGGAAATTGTAACAAGTAGCTGTACCCCCTTTCCGATATACAAACCCAGACGGCTTTTTCTTTTTTTTTGGGTGGGGGGGGGAGAGAGAACCGGTGCCAGGCTGCTAAAGGGGGTAAACCCAGACTGGGTTGAATGTCCAGCTAAGTCACTAGACCGTCGGTTGGGACATCTGTTAAAATTGGAACGATACAGTGAATGTAGACAAGATTACCATGGCCCCTGTGCAAGGATGCCACACATAAAATTAATCGAGAAATGGTCCAAAATTCTCTCCAAATCTTTAAAAAACAACTACAACAACACAAAATGCAAAGTCTGACCAGCTACCACAGATGCAAAGCACAATACACGACTATCGGGGCCTCGCTCCACTACTCCCCACCCTCCAAATTTGGAAAGAGGTGGGCCACTCCACTTACTATCCAAATCAGACCCCTCAAGTTTCCCTTGTATAGCCGTCACAGTTAACCTCCTCTTTTTTTTTTTTTTTTTGGACCATTTCTCGATTTATGTGTGTCATCCTTGCGCAGGTGCCATTTGCTAATCTACCCTTCTCTGTATCATTCCAATTTTTACGGATGTCCCAAAGGACAGAGTTCACGTCCTCTAAAACCTCTTTTTTTTTGCTTTTTCTTTATAAAGGGCGACGGCCTTGAGATATCATCATTTCAAGGGGCCGGCCCTACCGTTATCACCCGAATAAAACGCCCGGTCATTGTCGCTGAATCCGGTCTGAAAGTTGGCCCAAATACAGCCATAACGACCGGGCGTTCTATTCGGGTGAAGAGGGTAGGTAATTCAGAATTGCAGTGTCTTACTCGTCATTTGCTTCCAGTGGAGTTCGAACTCAGCACCTGCTCTGTATTTCAACAGTTCAGTTCAGGGGGGGGTGTACCAACTGAGCTAGGCCCCATTCTCCAAGGGTGAATAGTTCCCCCCTAGCAAAAGTCATTACTTGGAGAGTTGTCAATTATTCTCCGCCTGCAAAATTCGTTACTTGGAGAGTCGTCAATTATTCCCCGCCTGCAAAAGTCGTTACTTGGAGGGTCGTCCTCGTAGATATACGATTACTGCCCGAATTTGGAGAGCAGGCCTGGCGTCTGGGCGGACGGACGGGATTTCAAGATGTCCTTTTTTGCTCTGGACAGTTGGAGAGTCCTTCCGTGAGAGTGTTACACGCTGAAAGCCTACACACGGGCCCCTCACGGGACCCGAGGTTGGAATAGGGCCCCCAGGTCGCATCACCGCAACCTGAAGGCCCTATGGCATTTTTACTCGGGCCTGCATCAGAAAAACGCCAGCTTTAGATTATTTTATATTCTTTTATTTATTTATTTGCTGCTRTTTTTCTAACGGTTGTACTGTTGTCCGTTTTGTGGCCAGGTACACGTTTTAGGACCAGGGCCAGATTCAGGCCCAGAGGCTGAGCTCCTAAAAACGTTTGGACCTTTTCTTTTGTTTTCGAACAGATTGCTACCTGTTCGGACCCAGGCCGACGTTGAGGCCGGGTACGTCCGCACAAGACCGGTTCRAAGCCAGGTACMAGGAAACTGAATCCTGGACAGGGCCTGGACGTCCGGTAGGGACCCAGGCAGGCCGTTTTAGGCCAAGGGCTGAACCAGTTTCAAAGCCTGCGATCTGGACCGTGGATYGGATTTCGATCTGCACGGCCCAGAACGCAGGCCGTGGGTTKTCAGCCCTGGCCCAGCGCTACATTAGCTGGGCYGTTGCCCAGTTCRTGAACAGAAGGTACTAGGAGAAATCCAGCGTTATGCTGGTTCAGGAACTTCGCTGCTGCGCTATTTTGGAGACTCCCTGCTGCGCTATTTCGAGACTGCAGCTGCGCTGCTCATCGGCCATGAGGCACAG